AAATGCCACTCCTCGAAATCCCCCACACTTGCCTCTTGTTGTCCTCAAGAAAAACCAAGAACAGAAAGACAAAACAAACACTACAAAGACAAACACAACATGGCAAGGCTTATAAAAGCAAATCATGTTTTAGGGTGGACATATGCTTTATTCGGACTCAACTATGATAAACAACGTCAGAGAATACTAGCCCTTCTCAATTGCATGATGCATGCACGCCTCAAGATGCTAATGGTTACAAGAGTCAAGCCTAAGCTAAGCATAGAGAACTAGTGAGTCATTCTCCGCCTTAGTCCCCTCTAAAAACGGTTCGCGTTCTCCCCACTAGTTTCAAATCATCCCCCTAGATGGCTCCTCATGATTCCACGAAGGAACCGGAAAAAAGATTCATTTTGAGGAGGTAAAAGATCATCTCGACATCTCAACTATGCACGCTCTCTCCACAGGGTTGAAAACCATCTCCCTCCACCGGTTGTTGACCACGCACTCCTAAATTCTAAGGGTCTTTATTAGGGTTGTAATGAAACGGCTAAAGGTAGAGGTAGGGAGAACATTTGACAAAGTGCTCGCAAGTCCTAAGTGAAGCAAGAGAATGGCCAACTCTCATAGACAAAACTTAAGAAACAACCACAACTCAAACGAACATTCGCCATTTCGATTTCAACACATTACTAACCTTATTCAAATATAAATTTTTAATTTTTAATTTTATTTTTTTTAATTATTTTTTTAATTATTTTTATTTAATATATATGTTTTTTTGTTTCACTCTTCTTAAGCTTTTCTCGCATGCTCATATTCAAGTTTTACATTTCAAATCTTTGTTCCAAACCAACTCTCCATTTAATTCACGCTCATAATCACAACGCTCATTACATTACCCCCACATGCCAAATGCTTCACTAACTAAGAGGGTTGGTAAAACATAGGTCATTAGGCTTGTAATGCGGTTGAGACAAGAATGAGAAATATTAGGCTCAAAATGGTTGGCAAGAAGGTTGATGCAAAATGGAAAATCGAATTTGTAACTAAATAAAAGAGGACATAAACAAAAATGAGAAATGGTGCCCTTTTCCTCCCCTAAAAGTGCTAGGTCACGATCTCGGGAGCTAGCAATCAACACAAGGATTAAGACACGCATAGTTGAGGATCCTAAAATGCCGCACAACAAATTGATGAAGGCTTGAACAAAATGAACCTCACAAGGGATGGGAAAGGTAAGCAAATGCCAACTAGAGGGCTTCAAATCCACTACAGGGAGCAACTCCATCTTACCACATCCCATGAACTATGGGTTCAAACGCCCTCACAAGTTCTTACCCTTGCTACCTTAGCTAAGGTTTGTCTAATTCAACCAAAGGCAATCCCAAAACATGCATCTCATCATAAAGTTATGAAAAGACAAGCATTCTAGGGCGCATCATTACGGAGATAGAGTCCAAATGTAACAAGCAAATTCCAAAACACAACCATATCATCATGCCATAATCATGTTTGTCACACAAAAAGAAAATGAAAACGGAACAAAAGAAGGAAGAAATCAAGGAAGTTCAAACATGAGGCATATAAATCCAGATAAATCCCAATCGACATACAAGTGATCGTTCGGTATCAATACCAACGATCCCAGGTTCCTTGGAACCGCATGCAAACATCCTCGAACCATTCAACTCCTTCCTAAACTAAATCCTAAACTAAATACAACACAAGAAAGAAAAGAGAAAGTAAAGGAGAGATCTCACCCATGTCTCTTGAAGAAAAGAATAGAGCAACCTTGCAATTTACCATTTCTTCATATGTTGCTTCCAAATTTTTTCTAAGCTACATGTGAGAGAAAAGAAAAGAAAACAAACACTAGAGGGAGAAAAACGTTAGTAAGAGAGAGAGAAAAATCTATGAACTCAAATATTTGGGTATAACCTACTATCCAACACATCATTATCATCATCAAATCATCATCATCATAAAGATAGACATCATCAACAACTAACAACAACAACGCTACCAAAAGCTTACCAACAACACCAAACCCAAACCCCTAGACATTTCCCTGAGTCTTAGGTGCCTTTCCCCACACTTACCCAATGCATACCCTAACACTCCCTTTAGACTCAACACCCCCCCACACTAGATTAAAGCATCGTCCCCGATGCTTTACATGCACATGGAATAAAAGGGAGAGACAACAAAGGGAGGGAGCAAACAGACCGAGGGGGAAACTAGTGGCTACTAGGGCCGACACCACCGTCATCCGTACTCCAACTATTGTAGGAGAAACCCGACGGGGGGCTATAGGGGTCCCAACCTCAGGTGTAGCCGGGGGGCCACCCATAATGACCCTTAAAAAGGTCTAGTTGGGGTGCGGACAACTGGTCATATGGCTCGGGTTGAATTAGAGGTGAAGGGTGAGAAGGATCAACGTAGGAGTAGTTAGGGTCACCCCGATAATCACTCCCACCCGAAACCCGGTAGTCATACTGACCGGACTCGTCGGGGAAATCAAGTCTTGGCACATTAAGGTCCAAAGGACCCTGCCAATAGGGGTACGTAGGTTGGTTATCACCCCCCCAAGATGGCACGGGCCCTTGTTGGGCCAGCACATAAGGGTAATTAACTGGGGGAGTGATATCCCCTTTACGTACACTAGCATCGTATAAAGCGTTAGTTTGGAAAGAATGGTGTTGTTGGGAGGCGAACATACCTTGCACGCCGAGTTGCATGCTTTCCATTTGAGCCCGTATCGCCGCCATTTCTTGTTGGTAGTCAAATTGTTGTTGATTTTGTTATTGTTGTTGTTGTCGATGTCTTCCTTGCCTTTGTTGAAATTGTTGTTGTTGTTGTTGTTGACTTAGAGGGACAACCCTCTCCTCGTTCTCATCCTCCTCATGACCAAGACCTTCGCCAGATCCTTCACCCATTTCCATCCTTGTACTTGGGAGGACACCTGAATCCTTCTTTACCTACCAAGGGTAATTAATCCCCTCCCTCGTGAAAGAAGTGAACTTCAGCTTGTGGAGGAAGCAATGGTGCTCGTGGGAGACTAGCAAACTCCAAGTCCTCCCTCGATCCTCCGTATCGGCGATGAATTTCATCGTCTTTAATTGATCGAGATCGAGCCAAAAATCACTCCCATCATTCTTCCCCACGGGGGTGCAAGAATCCAACTTATCCATATGACCCAATTTCTCGGCTATCCGAGTGATTATCCCACCAAAATGGATCTCCCCTTTCTTTGTACCCGAGAGGACACCTTCAATGCACTTAGTAAATAGAAACCCGAAATTCATTCTATGCCCCAACTCCGGTTGCGTAGCTAGCAATAATATTCGGATTTCCTCAGTTGTAATCTTTCCCAAGTTCTGCTTATTAAAAACCATGTACCCGAGCAATCGATGTAGGAGTCTAATGGCGGGGTGCATGATCTGACTGGCCAAGGAGTACTTGGAATTAAAGGCATCCATCCCTGAGATGACCTTCCACCAATGAAGGGGTTCATAAGCATGAAGACCCTTATGCTCGGGGAAGAACATATCGTCGTCCGGGTTTAGGTGTAACAATTGGTTAAATTGGCGGAGGGTGAGGGTTTCTTTTTTTTATAGATTTGGAAAGAGATGGTGAGGTCCTTATCGGCATGACACTCAAAACAGGCAAGGAACTCAAGAGTGGGCTCCTTATAGGTTCGATAGGCACTTGTCACAAATGAGCCTAATCGAAGATTGTTGAATATGAACCAACAATCGTCGTCATTGCCGAGCTTCGTGGTGGAAGGTTGGTGGTAGTGTTTTTTGGGTCTCAATTTTCTGTTTTGGATGTTGTCATAGATGGGTTTGTGGTTTTTGTTGTGGAATTTGAGGGGTGGTAAAGGTGGTGGAGTAGGTTATTCGTTTTGTTGGGGGTTTGTGGATGTTGAACCTTGAGGTTCTTTCCCAATTTTTCTTTTCTTTGAGCTGAAAATCATTTTGACCAATACCAATATGCAATCCAATACCTCAACAATACGCCACAACAGTCACACCACAACAATTCTCCAACTACAAGTAACTACAACAAGAGCACACTTTCAAAATCACCAAGCACAACCTAAACCAAGCAATCTAATTCAACAATCAACTAACTAGACAACAACTCAACAATTAACAATGCTTAATAGGATGAATTAACACAAAATAGGCATGCGACCATCAAAAGTTCCCACATGAAAATCACAAGATATCAAATTTTCTCAACCAAAGAAATTAGTTCAAATTCAAAGTAAAGCTAGAGTAAGAAAGAGATATATACCAACAATGAGTACCAAAGACTACTCAAACTAGCCCTTTGAAGAAGAAATCCGAGCACACCTTCAAAAACCCTTCAATGGTGGAAACAAGGTATGTTCAAGGAAGAACACCGAAATTTGGGGGCTTGAATGGTGAAATTTCAGATTTTAGGGAGGAAAATTAGAAGGAAAGTGAGAAAAATTGATGGATGTTGATGATTTATGATGAAAATTTGAGGTAGAAGGAGTTAGGGTTTGAAGAGGAGTGAGGTTTAGAGGGAGAAAGGGGCAAATATTTCAGAATTTAGGGTTTTGGGTTTCGGTTTTTTGCTAAGAAAAGCTCTTAAAATCCGCAGACCCCGACTTTGCGCCCTCTCCCAGGCATCTCCTGGGCATCTTCACTTTGCCCTTCTTTTCTGAAGAGACCCTATCCGTGCTCGTGGGTCTTAGGGCTGCGCCCGCGGGCCTTTAAGGAGCGCCCTCTCCAGGGAATCTCCTGGGCATCTCAACTTTCTTTTCTTCCTTTCTCCTCAAAACCTCCAACCTTAATTTTGTAGACCAAAAACCCAAAGATTCAAGTACCTACTAGAAGAAAAAAACACACACAATAAGAATCTAAAGAAAATTCATCCAAGATTAACTAAGCAAAGGAAATACAAAACCAAAAGAGTTCGAGAACTCGGGTTGCCTTCCGAGAAGCGCTTCTTTATGAGATCATTAGCTTGACCATAATGCATCATCATCAAAAAGCTGGCTTAGGATCCGATGGATGGAGCCTCATGCACTCAATTATGCCAACTTGATCATTGCAATGGTAGAGCTTCAAACGAGGGCCGTTGACCATGAACTTGTTCCCTTTCGCCTCCAACTCAAAGGACCCGTAAGGAGTAGTCCTCGAAATCGTGAAAGGCCCCGACCACTTGGACTTTAGCTTTCCGGGAAACAATCTAAGCCTAGAGTTGAATAACAACACCTTGTCTCCAACCTTGAAGCTCTTGTTCCTTATATGTCGGTCGTGCCATCTCTTAGTCCTCTCCTTATAGAGCCTCGAGTTCTCGTAGGCGTCATATCGGAGCTCCTCAAGTTCATTGAGCTTAAGAAATCTCTTCTCACCTGCCAAGGACATATCCATGTTAAGCTCCTTGATCTCCCACCAAGCCTTATATTCCAATTCAACCGGCAAATGACAAGCCTTGCCATAGACCAACCGGCTGGGGTTGTGCCAATGGGGGTCTTGTATGCCATCCTAAGGGCCCAAAGCGTGTCATAAAGCTTGAGGGACCAATCTTTTCTAGACTTGTTCACCATCCTATCAAGAAGGTTTTTTATCTCTCTATTGGACACCTCCACTTGCCCTTGAGTTTGAGGGTGGTAAGGGAGACCAACCTTGTGATGAACCCCATATCTCTTGAGAAGAGCTTCGAATTGTTTCTTGGAAAAATGAGAACCTCCATCACTGATTAGCACCTTAGGAAGCACAAATCGCGGGAATATGACCTTCTTAAGAAGCTTGAGCACAACCTTGTGGTCGTTGGTAGGGGAGGGTACAGCTTCAATCCATTTGGTCACATAGTCCACTGCCACCAAGATATATAGATTTCCACAAGAAGAGACAAAAGGCCCCATGAAGTCGACACCCTAAACATCGAATGGCTCCACCTCCAAAATGTTTTGTTGAGGCATCTCATCTCTTTTGGTTATGCCACCACTTCTTTGGCATTTGTCACACCTTGAAACAAACTTGTGGGCATCCTTGTGCATTGTTGGCCACTGTAGAAGAGATTGAGAGATCTCCGCCACCGTCTTTTCTGCACCTCCATGTCCTCCACACGGCAATGAGTGGCAATGCTCAAGAACTCCTTCAATCTCATGGTCCGGAACACATTTCCGGAAAAGGCCATCTCCACATTGCTTGAACAAGTAAAGGTCATTCCAAAAATACCTCCTCACTTCCTTGAAAAATCTCTTCTTTTGTTGAGAGGAGAACTCCGGAGGAATGACTCCACAAGCGAGATAGTTGGCTATGTCCGCGTACCAAGGGCTAGACGTTGAAGCCATAGCGATGAGGGTTTCAAATCCCACCTCCCCATTGATCGGCACATCCTATTTATTCTCAAAAGGAAGCCTAGACAAATGATCCGCTACATAGTTCTCCGCTCCCTTTTTATCCCTCATTTTCATGTAAAAATCTTGGAGCGAAATATTAATACAATCTTCATTTGGGAGGAATGTAGAGGCATACATTAATGACATGATAGTCAAATCCAAGCTACAGACAGATCATCTTGCTGATCTCCGAGAAACCTTCACCACACTCAGGCGGCACAAGGTCATGCTCAATCCCAATAAGTGTGTCTTTGGTGTTGAGTCTGGGAAGTTTCTCGGATTTTTGATTGATCAAAGGAGGATAGAGGCCAAAGGAGACGCTTTACATGTACTTAGCTGTCTCAGACCATGCTCTCAGTGCCGTTCTCGTTGGTGAAAGAGACAACATCCAGCACCCGGTCTATTTTATTAGCCATGTTCATCGAAATGCTGAACTACGGTGCCCAATGGTGAAAAACTTAGCCTAGCTCTTTTTATGGAAGTCAAGAAGTTGAAGCCTTACTTCTTGGCACATCCGGTTGTGGTCACCACAGACCAACCCCTCAAGCGGCCAATGAGAACCTTGGAGTCATCCGGTAGGATACTCAAATGGGCTATTGAAATGCAAAGTCTTGACATCTCTTTCGAACCAAGGATGGCATTGAAGGATCAGGCGTTTGCTGACTTCATTATCGAAATGAAAATGTCGGTCGAGCCGAAGAATCTTCACCAGGTTTGGAAAGTTTATGTAGACGGGAGCTCTACTATGAACGGTTGTGGTGCAGGGATAGTATGCCAGTCCCCTTAAGGGGACAAGTATGAATATACACTACGATTCAAGTTTTAAGCCTCAAATAAGGAGGCGGAATATGAAGCCCTGCTAGCCGGTATCCGCATGTGCAAGGCGGTAGGGGCAAGAAAAAATGACGCCTGCTCTGATTCACAATTTGTCGTTAACTAATACCTTTGTGACTATGAGGCCACCCATCCGACCATGATCAATATTTGCAAGCTGTCAAAGAAGAGGCTGGGACACTTGATGAATTTCATCTAACTTTGGTGCCCAGGTTAGAGAACAATCAGGAGGATGCTCTTTCTATGTTGGCATCATCCGCCTCCTGTGATACACCTCCGTGGGCCTTTTGGGAAGTAATGGAAAAGCGAAGTATTGAAGAAGATCCCATTGGAATACCTGATCGGAGTTCAACTTGGATGGATGGCATCCGGGCCTATCTACTAGACGACACTTTGTCGGATACATATCCAGAAATGGCTGCAATGAAAAAATTTGCGGCTAACTTTGAGATTTATAATGGACAACTTTTTAAGAAGGGTTTTTTGCAACCTCTTTTGAAACGCATCACCCTAGAAAGGGCCAGGCGGCAAGGCTACTTCTGGCCCACTCTTAAATCAGATTCCATGGAAATGGTGAAGAAGTGTGATAAATATCAAAGATTTGGCAAACTCATACACCGTCCGGCCACTGATTTAACAGCCATTCACAGCCCAGTACCATTCGCCAAATGGGGCATGGACATTCTGGGTCCGTATACACCTGCGCCAGGCAAACGGCGATATATTCTAGTCGCCGTTGACTACTTCACCAAGTGGGTAGAGGCAGAGGCAATCAAAGGCATTCAGACAAAGGATGTCATCTCCTTCATCTAGAAGAATATCATCACCCGGTTTAGGGTACCTATGTCTATGGTCTTTGACAATGGCCCTTAGTAAGAGACACCTACCCTAAAAAATTGGCTGGGAGACCAAGGGATATCTCACTATTTTGCGTCAGTCGGTCGTCCCCAAGCAAACGGTGAAGTTGAAGCCTTCAACAAGCTAATCTCAAACGACACTAAAAAGAAAATTGAAAGAGCTGGCGGTTTATGGGCGGATAAGTTACCTCATGTCCTTTGGGCCATTAGAGAAACCGCAAAAGGGGCAACCGGTGAAATCCCATTTCTCATGGCATACGGCGCATAAGTCGTCTATCTCATTGAACACTATGAGCCGACTCTTTGAGTCATGCTGTATGACGATGAGGCAAACTGGGAGGCCATGCGACTAGCATTGGACTCACTCCCGAAACGCAAGGGCAATGCCGGCTTGCGTCATGAGATTTACCATCTGAGAATGACAAGAGCCTACAACAAAAGAGTACACAAGCGGCCCTTGAAAGTAGGGGACTTTGTGTTACGAAAAATGGAGGCAACCAGTAGGGCCAATGAGCAAGGAAAGTTGACTACCAATTGGGAAGGCCCTTACCGGATCTATGAAGAAGTGAGAGGCGGCACCTACCGCTTGGAAACTCCAGACAGCAGGTAGCTAGCAAGAACTTGGAATGTAGAAAAATTAAAACAGTACTAATTCTAAGACTTGCAAATTTGTTATGAATAAAAAGCCCATCAATGAAGAAGTTTCTTTTTATTTTTAAATTTGTTTATTTATTGCTTTAACTATATACATCTCCCAGTGGGAATACCGTCTGTGAAATGTGCAGACGGCCTTAACCCATCGTCTGCTCCAACATGAGTAGACATCCGGCGATGCCCATCCGGGTGAATTCGTCATAGAGAGCATCTCCCATCCAGGTGGTACATTGCTCTATAAACTTATTGCAAACGGAAAAGATTGATTAGCCTAATGAGGCGCACTCATAGCCGTTTCACATAAGCAATCTAAAGGAAACCTAGATGGTATACTAAACCGCGTGTCCGCAGACTCAGTCGGTAACCAATCGTTATTCTAACTTAGATTGCATTAAGAATCATATACTTATAGCCCTCCCAATGGGGTAGAAGGGCGCCTGAGTATATGAATAGGTTACAAATACCCCAGACGGTTAAAACAATCCTAGTCCAATAGACTAAGCAATCTCCGAAGACCGCTTGGGTTCTAGGCTTAAACCGCCTGAATCTTGGACGGTTGTGTACTTGGTTTAGGGCAATCACGGTTGTGATTGATTGTCTTAGCAACTCATCATACTCCTAAAAGTATCAAAAGTCCCCAAGTCAATCAATCAAGTTTTTGAAACCAACCACACATCCGCCCTGGGCTAAAGAGCCAACCGGTTTGTTAGTTGCCGCATGCAATTAACAAGTTAGGCAAAATTCAAGCATATATATATAACAAATCAAAGCAAATCAAAAATTGCAAGAGTCGAAAAAATTTTACAAAACTGACTCAGTCGGTCAGTTAATAAATAAAGTGATTGTTAACCAGATCTACGTCCGAGAAATTAAAAGAGATTGTTGAAAAATACAACAAATGCTTAGCACGTAGGTCGGAAATGCAGACGGCCACAAGCCGTATAGAACTAAGGAAAGCTAATTTTGCTGAGGCGGGGCCACCGACGCATCTTTCTCAAGTGGAGGTAGAGCAGAGTTCACCTGTGCATCGTTTCCTTGTTGCTCTTGCTCCTCTCTCTCCCCTGCAGCTTGAGCAGGCTCTTCCCCGTTTGAGGCCTCCTTGTTTTCCCACTCCTCAAATGGTTCCGACTCCGGTTTCCCCTTAGCCCATGCAGAAAGAACAAGATTTGCGTAATTGTAGGCCAAGGCCCAGATACTATAATCAGCATCCTGATGCACAAGGTCCCATGCCATCTTCATCCGGTCCTCGCAGTCTTGTTCATTCTCCTCAATGAGGAGAATTTGCTCAGCCTCTAGAGTTACAAATAATTTGCCCTAGAAGGCAGCCATCTCACCCTTAAGACGGTTATCGTCTGCTCGGAGAGTGGTTCTCTCCTTGTCGGCGCCCTCCAGAGTTTTAAGGTGCGCCTAGTCTTTCTTGAGCGCTGCCTTAGGATTGGTGGCCTTCAGGTTAGCCTCAGCAAGAGCAGCCATTAGTGGCTTAATGGATTCTGTCTACGTCATTAGCTCAGCTTTAGTCTGAAGTTCAATTATTGTATTCTGATACTGAGCAACGTTAGTGGAATCACTCGCCCGTTTATTGGCCTGCCTTACCTCTTCCTGCTTCCGAGCATATGGCTTCTTCAGCCCATCAACTCTCATCATCGCCTGTATACATGCGAACGGTGTGTTAGAAAAATAACCGGCATTATACTTTAAAGGAATATGAATAAAGTTATTATACCTCAGCATGGTCTTGGAGAGCTGTTGCACATCCGGCCACCATGGGGATTGATCTGCAGCATAAGGTAGATTTGGTTAGAAAGCTACAAAGGCGCCACCAACAAACTGCCGGCTGCCTGAGGAACCCTCGACTGTAGCTGAGAACGTGACTTGACCCGCATGGGCCAACCAAGCTCAAAGGGGGAGTCGAAGGGGTCATTCGTACCTTGGGGATGAGGCTGAAGGCTTAGATCGCCTCAGCCACTGTAGAACCGATTGTAGCTTTGGGTGGCTCGCCACCCTTCGGCACCTCAAAGGCACTCGACTTGTTTTAGAGGTCTATCCCCAGACCAATTTTCCTAATACTCTTCCCGCCAATGGTCTGACAACCTTTTCCAAGCGGAAACTCAGGAGCCTTTTGAGTAGAAGACACCTTTCGGGTCTTGGCCGACCTGGTGACCTCGTCATCCAATT